CCTCCTTTGGGGTATAGTATTTTGTATAAGGAATATAATCTTACTGGGTTCAACCACCAAAAAAACACTACTCACATGGGCAGGGGGCTCGGAAGTGCTGCGGCTTTGCCACACCGCATAGCAGCTTTCTATCGTGGGTTGTGGGAGATTTGAGACATGACTTGCTTAGTGTGCCACAGCAGGATAGTACTAGTATGAGATGACACCAGCGTTTTCCGGACTGTCTTCTGCATGCAGGGTTTACCAGATGCCAAACTACACTGAAGTGTGTTTGGCTGCACATTTGAGCGCGCTCAGAGATTCTTATCAGCCTCACCTGCCTCACCTCAGCATGGGCCCACTGTGCTCTCGTCAGTGTTTGGCTTTCCATCCTCAGGCTTCTGGAAGGTGTGGTTGAGAGCAGCGTCCTTCTTCAAGTGCTGGAGGACGAGGGTTTTCTCTGGGTGTGCAGATTACATGCGTGGACACGCTGCTTTGCGCGCAATGTGTTTTCCATAGCAACCTAGATGTCTGTGAGTTCAGGATGGCTGAGTAGCAGGAGTCTGCAATGCTACTTAACATTGTCTCATATATATATATAGAGAGAGAAGGAAGAGAGAGTCAAATGTTAACCCTTCCTCGACATAGCCGCTGACTGTGACCTATCGGACGTGTGCTGGACTTGCGCATAGCCTGTAGAAGAAGGAAAAGCGAGAACTCTCGAGCAAAGGGATAGTCACCTCTTCGAGGTCGATAGTTGATGGCAAACACAGTACAAGAGGACAAGCGGCCATGACATTGTGGTATCTTACCTTGGAACAGCATAGTTTCTGCAGTACCCTTCTGCATAACCTCTCCCTAATCCACTCCGCCAGCTGTAGCCAAGGGTCCCTTTGAAGTTTAGGGCCTCCAAAGAAGGGGTTTCCCAAAATGAAATGGTGGCCCCAATACAGACTCCAATGCCCCAACATCCTATAAATCTCATTGTATAGGGACTCCGGAAGAATGCCCCCTACTTTTTGAGCACCCAAATGACCGACGGAAGTCTCTTGCTAAAAGACTTGAAGCTCCAGGCCTTACGTTTAACACGAATCATCTCTGCTCGTATGAGCTCCGTGCATCTCAGATTAACCGTGTGTGGAGAACTCAGACTTCCGTAAACTCGGTCTAGACCCTAAGCAGTCGACCCCCAACCTGGTCTGTTGAACAGCAGTTTACAGTTGTGTGTATACAAGCGCAAGATAGAAGCATGATCACTTTTAATGGTCCTTCAGCCTATGTCCTGGAACGCCTACTGAACTGTCCCAAAACATCCGCAGCTCTGAAGAAGACCTCTAGATGTGTATATATATATAGACATACACACCCATATACTTACTCACTTCTCCCACGCATTAAATCCGAATCCCCAAATCCTGAAATGCCTGCATAACCCCAATATCATACCCTATTATACTATAGTAGTTTCCATCTTATTTTCCATAATCCCAATATTACCCCAATATAACCCTGAACCCTAAACCCTAATACTACGGAGGACCTCTCATTTGTCTTGAACCCTTCCGCAGCCGGAGGCTAGGAGTGACATTGCTGTGATGCTGGGGTTATATGAGCTATAGTCTGAACTCCTTAAGGGGGGGTTTATATGGGAGACTATATAGGGGAATATTATAGGGTATATTCGGGGGGATACTAGGAGTTTAAGCTATAGCTCATATGGAGATTACGCAGGCATGATAGGGCCGATTAGTGGGTGATATAGGGACAACAGAAGAGAGAATGTACATTTCTGTTTAGGGTTTCGAGTTTAGAATCTAGGGTGCAGGGTTTAGGCTGCCTTTTTTTAAAAAACAATATTTTTTTGGGCGTGCCCAACATAGTAGGGGCCTTATCATCATGGGGACCCAAACGGGACAGTAATTTTGACAACCTACCTTACGGCAATTCAAAAGCAAGCTCCTCCCTCATATTCCCATGTGTTCCCTATGTCTTAGGTAGACCCACACCCCCGACCTTGTCATACTGATAGAATGGGAATATAATAAGAGGACCTTGACATAATCACCATGATCCCTTATAATTATTCACTATTCCTGGGTGGGGGGTCCACCTAACCTAAATCACCCTACTTGTAGCATCCCTTAGGAGGACCCTTCACTCTGTAATAGTGGTATATAGGAATATAAGAGGACCCTAATATGATCCCTATTATCCCCTGTAGTCACTATTACTGGGTGGGGGGTCCACCTAAAGCATCCCTAAGGGCCCGGTGATTTTTTTGAGAAATCCCCGATATCATGCAGAAACCTGAAATGTTCGCATGCTATTACCCACATGTTTGGGAACAGTCCTAGTTCCCAAAACCAATTATTGCACCTACAAACCCCTGAGTGCTCTGGGTGGCGGTTAGGGAACTTAAACCGAATCACTATATTAAGGAGCCCCTATGACTTCTTCCATACTCAGATGATGGCAGCTTAATTTTAGTCCCTTAACAGCAACCCAGTCCTTGAGCGCAGAAGGGGATGCTTTGAAGTGTGAGGAAGGCTTTAGGGGGACCCCCGACCCTGTAATAGTGGTATAATTAATAGGAATATAAGAGGACCCTAATAAAATCCTTGTTATCCCTAATATAATCCCTGTTTTCCTTAATATGACCCCTATTATCCCTTACATATTCCCTATTGTCCCTTATACAATCCTTATTATCCCTTATAGCCACTATTACTGGGTGGGGGGTCCACCTAAGGAAGGCGGTATGACCACGCCAGGCCGACGGCTTTAGGGTTTAGGGTTCAGGGTTTAGGGTTAGGGGGTTTAAGTTTTAGGGGTTAAGGGTTTAGGGTTTAGGGTTAGCGGGTTTAGGGTTTAGGGGTTTAGGGTTTAAAGTTGTAGGGATCTTGCAGCCACGGCTGCAGGACGTCCCTTTTTCTTGGTTGCTGTAAAGGGACTTACTTTAAATTACTATATTGGGGAAGCCATACTAATTACAATATATATATATACACCCATTATAGTAACTTAGTTTAAATTCCATAGTAGCAACCCAGTTTTACACTGTAAACCGGAAGCGTAGACAAAACGGAAATTCAAAAGGGCAGCAGAAAGCCTGGTCGCCAGGTGACGTGCCCGTGGGCATCGTCGAGTCCGCGAGCCCTGGGCTGCTGAAGAGTCTAGGCTGGAAGGGTTTAGGGTTTAGGGTGTAGGGTTCAGGGTTCAGGGTTTAGGGTTTAGGGTTGATGGGGTTGTGATCCTGTTCGGGTTTTAGTCGTCGAGGCTTAGGGTGTGGGTGGGAGTCTGGAGCGGGGAAGGGGCTGGGGTTGGGATCCCGTTTCGGTTGGGATGTTGTAGGTCGGAGTATAAGGGTGTGATATGATTAGAAATGGTGGGGCAGTATCCTATGTGGGAGCGGGGTAGAGATGGACAGCGGGGTTTGGATCTGCGAGGGTTGCGATTTGTGATTTCCGTTGCGCCAGCTTATCTTGGTTTGCTGTTAAGCAACTCAGACTAAGTTACTAAGCTGAGGAAACCCTATTATTCATATACTATATACCCATAATACTGCAAGTTAAATTAAGTTGAACCCTATTGTTTATATAATTTATATACTATATGCCCATTGTATTGCAGCTTAAATTAAGTTCCTTGACAGCAACCCAGTATAGCAGAGCTTAGAGCTCTGCCTTGTTTCAGGTTTAGCGCTTGGGGCTTGGACCCTCGGCTTTGCGGTTGGCCCTGAACCCTAACCCCTGTACCCCCATTTACGGTTTAGGGTATAGGGTTTAGGGTTTAGGTATTTCTTGGAGCCTTGAGCGGCCAATCGCTTTAGTGGAGCAATTGGGTCGTTTTAGGGTTTAGGAGATTGGAGTTTCAAGTGGTCCCCTCCCTCTAATATTCAACCTCCCCTCCCCCAAGTATTAACTACTCCCCGTTGTGGTATATTATAGTATAGTATACTGGGCATATTTAATATTAGGGTGGCATATGGGGGTATCTGGGCGAGGGGATTATGGATCACTGTATTTCTCCAGGCTTCCACTTTGCTTCATCACCAAAAGCTCCAACACAGCTCCTTATGGAAGCACAGTTTTGATAAACCACCACCAGCACGGACAGCTAGCCCCAGATGTACATTGAGATTAAGAAGGGCTTATGGCTCCCTTCTTCGGTTACGTAGTGATGATTTCGAGAGACTTTTCTACCAGATCTTGGTGGAGATGTCCTTCATCCTAAGCTGAGAGAACTCAAGAAAACCAGCTAAGTCCTTTTGCTGCCTGCTCACTGTTTCCGGGCATGCTGCCAAGGGACTTACAACATTAGACTATCATAAAATGGCTCTACTGAATACCGAATTTCTTCTTCGGTAACTTAATTCAAGCTCCTAATACTACACAAATAACCCCTATATAACCACTGTTTCCATTTCATTTTCCATGTTCTTTTCCATTTGATTCTCCATTATAGGGCCCTAAACCCTATAGTCAAGGACCCAGAGTTCAAGGTTTAGCTTTCAATATTCAGAGTTTGGGTCTCAGTCTCAGTGTCCTCAGAGTTTGAGCTTCAGAAAATCCTAAGCCGTTGAATCTCTAGGGTTTATAGTCCACCTCAAGTTGATAGAATATGGGGTATATGGGGATCTTATTGTAACATACCCAAAGCCATATTCTATCTACTTGAGAGGGGCTATAAGTAGTCTTTACCACGATGTTGGACGTCTGGCTGGCTGAGGCGTTGGTGCTTTGCACTTGCTTACAGGACACGACAGCACCATACAGATGCTTATCATGAGTTATACAGAACCCCGCTTCCATTTGGGAGAGATTGGGAAATGCTCCGCACGACGTCAGACCCCAAACCCTAAACTGTAAACTCTAAGCACTAAACCCTTCAACCCTAAACCCCCAAGTAAGCAAACCTTCCTTTACCCTTCCACTTCCGGGACTCTGGCGGGTGGAGTGTGGGCGCGCGATGCTGACAATTGTTTCATCATCAGGACCTCCAGAGCAGACGCAATCCTTGTTTTCAAAGTCTCCCAAAAAATTGTTACCAGACACCTTACATGCCCTAAACACGCTTGAAACTTCCAACCTGTTCAGGATCGGAGGGCAAAAAACTGCCCTGCGCCTGAGGCTGAGGAAGCCACAGGGCGGATCAACTAAAGTGGTGGCTTGTGTTGTATTTCTCGAGTTTTCCATTCAGGCGTAAATTAGACTCTGAATGGTTTTGGGGTTGCTAGCCTTACTGGGCTTGGGGTGTGCATACAAATGGCTTCTTCTCGCTGGTGCTGAGTAGGGAATGGGGAAAGGACATTGGATGTAAATGGCAGTGCTATCGTTGCGAAGGACCCCATCGTCCTTCAGGGTCCCCTGAAAAACTCCCATGTAGGAGCCACTAGCAGAATTCTTCTTGCCCTTCGTTGCAAAGTAACAGGAGCCCTAAGCTTACTTTTTGGTGTACAGTTACGTGACAGACAGACTGCATGGTTATGGGCAGATCAGGTTACTGATCAACAGTTTTGATAAAAAAAAATTACGTTTACGATCGTTATTCTTGTCGTCCTTATGATTTATTGTTTCCTCTTCATATTCGCAGCTGATGACAAGGTAGTCCTGCTGCGCAGCTTCGACTTTGAGGAGAAGGCGGCTAGGGATAAATGGGTAGTATGGGAGGATTGCAGGGTTCCCTCTTAAGCATGGTGCAAGGGGTAGCAAATTGAATTTTCGGATGTTGATGCAGCAAGAGCCTGATCAAGGATAACTGCCTTGCGGGCGTGATTGCAGTCTGATTTCATGCCAAACTTGCGGTGCTATTCAACAATTTGAGGGAACATTTTGGTAATAGTGCAGGTGGCAGGTGGAACAGCAGTTCTGCATCTCATCGTATAAGTTGAAAAGGGCTGAGATTGCCAGCTGGCTGCCAGCTATGATCTTTGTACCAGGGCAAAGTCAGCGCCAGAATTAGTAGTTTCCATTTTCTTTTGCATTATCCCCATATATCCCCTCTATATAACCCTAATATAACCTTAATATAACCCCAATATATCCCCTTTGTCAGGCGCTGGTCTTCACGCCCGAGAGTAGTTGGCCGAACAGTTTTGCCCGGACCTTGTTCGCGTGAAGCAACCTGGTGAAGTCCTGAAGCTCTGAACCCGAAACCTTCAACCTTTGACCGTAGATGGGATGGTCAGATTTCATGCCGGAGTTCTCATAAACAGGGGATCGCCTTATGTACCCCAATGTACTACAATCTTCCTCAGAAAGGCATACTACCTGGAAGCCCAGGGCATGCTGCCCTGGTCACTGGACATGCTGAGTAAGCTGGCTTCCTGGAGGGTCATGGGGACTTAATGAGTGGGTTAAACAGGGGGATAACTTGGATTGCTATATGGCTTAAAAAGGTTATGGTAGTTTCGTAAATAGGGGGACCCCAATATGGACCCAAACTACTATAATCCTGATTATGGGGACCCCCCATTCAGATGGTACCCCTAATTTGAGGGAACCCCCTTATAAGTAAACATACAAAGTCGCCTGGCCCTTCAAGTAGAAGAAGGGTTGTCCCAGGGGGCCTTCTCGAACTCACAGCTCACGTTCCCTAGGCAATGACAGTGCAGGGATCATCACGCTGTGGGCTGCTTTCTGAGAATACACAAAATACAGGGGCCGTATATAATCCTTACAAACGCCATAAAGATTTGAAATTTATAGGGCCCCCCGGCCTACCCTAGACAGCCGCAAGCGAGCCGGTTTTGTGGGTTAGGACGGGTTCTCCACAGACACATGCTTGAGAGGTTAGATCTCCTTTGGGAAGCAGTACCCTGAATCCTAGACTGCACCTCGAATCCCTGAACCCTCAACCCTAAGCTGTCTGGGCCAAGGGTCCACTGACGTCTTGGATAGCCGCAAAGCGGGTACCCGCCATCGCCTCAGCCCTTGATGTTGATCGCTATCCACCATACTTCCTCAAGCTAGGTATGGGGGAATGTACTTAAACCACCCCTGTAGTAGATAACATAAAAGGGGTGTGCGAGGATGTTATTCTGCTATTAGAGAGTTCCATATTCTATTTATTGGGGAGGCAGCTATATGTTTAGTTAGGAATGGGGGAATGGGTATAGTGACAGTTGCGTGGCTTCAGCAGGGTCACTCAGTGACTACTCAAGGCGTCCGTTCCCATGGTTGATGCTGGGCCCAATCATGAGTACGTGATTGGATCTCGTCCCGCCGAACTTCAGGAAGTGCTTCTCGCCTGGCAAGAATCCTAAACCCCCATGGCCCCAAACCCTATGCCAGCATCAGCCGGGGGTTCAAAGCTAGCACTAGGCCATGATGCTACAATAGAAAATGACAAGCCCACTGGTTGCATTATATTGTTTACCGGAGAATACGGATTTTTAGGGATATCTAGTATTTTAACCCTAATAACTTCCTTAAACCCTAAACCCTAATAACCTCTTTGAGGAGGGCGCTCTGAGATTAGGACAAAGCCGTGGGATCTGGTTAGAGGCTTTACGGCTAGCCTATTTGGGGGTACCCCAAAATGAGGGGTACCATTTTGGGGGTCCCCATGATAAGGACTGTAGTATATTGTGAACCCTAAACCCTAAACCCTAAACCTGTGGTCTAAATTGGGGTTCCCATATTTTGGGAAATTACCATTTGCCTGTAGGGTTAAGGGTCGGGATGAAGGATGTAGGGCCTCGAATCCGCCGAATTCATGTCGAGCCCTAGTCTGAACTCCTCAAAGGGGGCTACATAGGGGAGTATAAAGGGGACTAGTAGTTTAGACTATAGCTTATGTAAGGCTACATATTATGAGGGTTCTCCATGCAACGCTTTGTAAAAAGATACCTTCATCTCCTGTAGTCTGGAGATGCTAAGGATCCTTATCTCGACACATCATCTCTGCACAGAAAACTGGATACCTAGCTTGCAACCAATTTGCAGTCCTAGATTCCTGGTCTAGTTATGGTATAGGGTGCTTCAAATAGACCTGAAAACTATTGAGATATTTTTGGGGCCCTACATTCTAAACCTCTATATAAAGGCCGTCATGTTCAATATGGGGACCCCAATATAGACTCCAGAATATTATGGTCATAGTCCTTACTATACGGACCCCCAAAAAGGCATCCCTAATTTTAGGAGACCCCTCATATCTATAGCCCTAGGAACCATGAACAAACTTTCCGGCAGTTCCCAAAATTAGGGTCCCATTTTGGTGCCCCTAGGGATTTGCTGCCGAAATAGAATGTATGACCGAAAGGGGCCCATGATTTTGAGAACCACCCATATCTATAACCCCAGGAACCATGAACAAAGCTGTCTAAACCTTCTTTCAAGCCTTCTAATGTAGACCCATTATTTATAACCCCCTCCTTTTGAGGCCTTCACATTAGGATCCCTAACATAATGCCTATTAAGGGGAGGGTGTTTACTAATCACGGGTCTTCATTCTCAACCCTCACCACAAGACCCAGACAGCAGGGCCACAGGATGACAGAAATTTTCATCTCGAAGCCCACAACAAAGCAAGCCCTGATAGACCCTCTATGCACCCTGCAGAAACCTCTTCGATTTTCATAAATTTCTACAAAGCTCTGAACTCTCTGTAAACCTTCAATGACACCCTGAAACCCCTTGAAAACCTCTATCTCTGGAGACCCCGCAACCTCTAATAAAACGTCATAAATTCTTCAGAAACCCTTCAGAAAACCTCTTGAACCAAAAACCTGCAACAATATGTTTAGACGACCAAACCCACTACAGGCTCAAAGGCGGGGCGGGTATGTTCATCGTGCTTTGTGTCGTGGACCCCTGGGGGGAGGAAGGGGAGGGGGGCAGGGGTCGGGGCCGTGAATGCCGACGCATAAAGAAACTTATACAGTCCTTGAAAACCTTATATAATTATCCCCAGATATCTTTGGAACCCCTACACTGTCCGCCTGTTAAGGCGCTGATCCCCGGATCGGAGCAGACTGTGCAGACCCTACACCAGACCCTACACTTGCGGTGTTGGGTTCAGGGTTTAGGGGCTCAAGAGGCAGGGGAGGAACTGAGCTCTAGTCTAGGGGTTCTTGCAAGGGTTATATGGGGGCTTCCCAAAATTAGGGGTACCATTTTGAGGGTCCCCATAATAACGATTATAGTATTTGGGATCCAAATTGGGGTCCCCCTATTTACGGAAACTACCATATTGGACTATATAGACATTATCAGAGGGGGTTCGCATAGGGCTAGAAAGAGGAAGGTCCATTCGACCTTCTTTGGATGCACCCTGCGAATAAACAGTGCAAGATACAAAGGACTTGCTCTGGCTTGGGGCTTAGGACTTACACTCTGGAGCTTTCAGTAGTGAAGGATTTAGTCTAGGTCTAGGGTGTCTCAGGCCTATATCCTTCTGTTGTGCTTGCTAGGGAGTAGGGTGTTACGCCCGTTTCAGCTTATTTGAGCAGAACTGCGGTTCTGTGAGATTGTTGGGTGAGTCCTGAGAATGTCTTATGCCAAACAATTTCTGGATGGGGATGGCCGTAGCGGTGGTACTGGTGCTGCCGCCGGCATTGGTGGTGTCGGTACCTGTGATGCTTGTCGTAATTTTTGTTCACTGGCAGCAGATCTCGTGGTAATGGTAGTAATGTCAGTGTTTCATGAAGTGTGTAGTGATGACAGGCATACCTGCTACTGCTACTGTTGCCTGCAGTACGATTGCTATAATTCCAAACGTGCTAGACTTGGAGGACAAGTAGTGCCATTTCCCTACGAAAGGACACGTTCGAATTACCTTGTACAACATGGTAAAGTTCACCAATTTTTGAAACCATTTTCGTCTGCAAAATACAGTGTTGAGTGACCAGGAGAAGCTAACTCATTAAATATCTGGTTTCTGTGTATATGATATTTGAGGGAGTCGAGCGGGTGTGTATAGGATTATTCGGGCTAATGGTGGTAGCAGCACTGCCCAAAATCAGCAAGGGTCTTGCTAGCATATTTTACACCCCAAAGTTTCACCTTCATTGGGCTTGTTTGGGATGCATGAAGCCTAAATCCTGAACATTCTGGGCTGAGGAGAAGTTTTTTCTTCAAGACATCGATCCTGGAAATGCCTTGGTCCTCTACTTTGGCGCGGTCCTTGGAATTCAGATAGATATATAATGAATATGAATAGGAAAATAGTCATGGTAGTGATTAAAACATTAACAGAAGATCAGGACGGAGGGGCACTGCTAACAGGTTTTGTTTTATGATGTTCAACCTCTACCTATTGGTATTATTATTCTCATTGTTGTTTTTTTATTGCTATAAGTAGTAGCAGCAGCAGCAGCAGCAGCAGTAGCAGTAGGAGTAGTAGTAGTAGTAGTAGTAGCAGCAGTGGTAAGTTGCTATATTGCTTAAGCTGTGGCCATTCTGTGCGGTGATCGGGTGGGGGGGGGGTGATGATGCGGCGAGTCCCACACCATGGAAGGCAAAAAGGTTTTGGGAAGTCCAAACCCCCAAAGCTCGGACATTGTAAAGAGGTCCTGGTTTGATTCTGGGGCCTGGTGTTACCAAACTCCTCTTATTCTAGGCGATGTTACCCCAAATCCCTAAACGCAGAATCATGGCTTGTCATGGTTTTTGCTTGGAGCCCTTGAAACGCATGGTGCGCCTTCTCGTGACCGCCAAGCAGGCTTCGATTTTGACAACCTCCTCATGTAGGACTCTGATTCCTTCAGAAATACTTTCTTATGAGTCTTGTAGATCTGAAGTACCATAATATGATACAACGCACACCCAAATTGTACTCTAACCCCACATTGTTTGACCGAGGCGAAGATGAGAATCTCCGCCGCGACCTGCATGTCCTCTCCCCGGGAGCACGCAGAAGTCAAATTCTTTGGGTGTCCGGCGAGTCCTGCCTGGGCAGCACTGCCCCGGAAAATCTATAGGTATCGCAGTCAATGAGGTTCCTTTGGGTGTCTTGCGAGTCCTACCCAGGTAGGCTGCGGCCCCAGGGGATCTAGAGTAATCTAGAGGTGTTGTACTCAAGTAACCTCCTTTGGGTGTCTTGCGAGTCCTACACAGGTAGGCCGCGGCCCCGGGGGATCTAGAGTAATCTAGAGGTGTTGCACTCAAGTAACCTCCTTTGGGTGTCTCGCGAGTCCTACCCAGGTGGGCCGTGGCCCCGGGGATCTAGGGTAATCTAGTAACCTCCTTTTGGGGTGTTCTGCGCGTCCTACCCAGGTAGGGCGCAGCCCAAGGGATGTAATCTCCTTTGGTCGTCCTGCTCGTCCTATCCAGGTATTGCATTCAAGTGAATTCCTTTGGGTAGCCTTCGAGTGCTGCTTCGGCGGTCGCACTCTGGTCCCGAAGTATTTAGAGGTTTGTTCAAGGGAAACTCTTTTGGAAGCCTTCTGCTGCAGCCGCACTTGAGCGGGTAATCCAGAGGGTGCTGCGTTTTCGGCTTTTGTGCCTTCACCTCCGGGTTCAGGGTTCAGGGTTTGATTAGGGTTGTTCAGGGTTGAGGGTTTAGGGTGTTCTTTTTTGAATTTCCCTGAGGGTCCATGTACCCAAGAATTGGTTACTTGGGTTTTTGGTGCCATTACTTAGTACAGGTGTTGGGGAAGTATATTGGCTTTCAGTGACTTCAATGGCTTGTAGTACTCTGGCTGTCATGATTCCTACAGCCACGGAGCGTGCTGGAATGATCCAGGATGTAGAGTGCACGGATTCAAGCCGGAGAGCCTTTGGGCAAGGGCTGAGGAGGTTGCAGTTATGTGGGGATTTCTGACAAAAGCGCCCCTAAACCCTTAAACCCTAAACCCCTAACACCTTAAAACCCTAAACCCTAAACCTTGGTAGGAACATTGGGATTGCTCCAAAAATCCGGGTGATGAAGGCGATGAAGACCGGTGTTTGAGGGGTGGTGCTCGCGTTGCTCTCAGGGCTTCGGTGTAGGGGATCAGGGATTTTGGGTCTGGGTACTTGTTCGTCTGTGAAGAGTTTTCAACGAAATCTGCAAAGGGGTTCAACAGCAAGATGTCTGCTGATTCTCTCCCTTTTTTTATCAGCTGAATTAAGATGGGAGCCTTGCAGGAGGTGGTAGGTGAACCCATGCATACCCCTAAACGCTTCAACTTCTTCTTGAACCCCTCAATATTGGCCGGAAGCCCAAGTTGAGTTCGAACATCATCCGAACATTGTTGGCAACGCAGAAAATACCGTTGCTTGCGTCCTCTCCCGTGAGCCAGCTGGGCCCCGCATTGTAAGATTGAAGACTCTGGACCTGAAATCCCTGAATGGCCGGGATTCATAGTCCATATCAGAGCTAACATTCTGCCGTACTATGATTTTACGTGAGCTGCTGTCAATATTGGCCTTGTAAAGGGGCCTTTAACAGTGAATATAGGGGTCCATGTTGTAATTTAGTATAGCCCCTAACATAGTCCCTAATAAGGAACCCATCTCCATTGAATTGTGTAGGAAGTATTGACTGTGGCTCACATGGGGGGACAACGTCTTACAATCTGGCAAGTGATCGGTAGGGAAAAGCCACTACCTGGTCATATCTTGTAGTCACAAATACTTACCATGGATGACACTAGTGCTTCGTAATATGTATTCCTGCTGAACTCTTTAAGACCCTATAATTCCTCTTTGTAACGCGGATATATCCTTGTATGTCCATAGAGAACCCCCATGTATCCTTACCCACCCTATATGCTTACCTCGGGTTGTTTGGACCTTTCGCTTATGCCAAAGATGACTCAGGAACTCGCTGTGTCCTTCGGCAAGGACAAGAAGCTGAAATGGGCCTGGGCCACAGCTTTCAGGTAATGTAGGGGTTGAAATATAGGGATCAAACGGTTTACTCGGGGTTATGTAGGACTCATATAGGGTTTATAGGGATATAGCCCCCAAGAACGGAGAATCCAAGGAAAAAGAACATTGGAACTGAAATGGAAGCTGGGCTCGTAGAGGTGGCATTATATTTGAGGGATAATTACCGATATTCTGGGTTGCTGTTAAGGAACTTAAATTAAGTTACCATAATGGGTATATATAGTAAATAATAGGGTTTCCCCAATATAGTAACTCAATTTGAGTTCCTTAACAGCAACCCAGTATTGTGGTCCTAACTTCCTCGCATAATTATGGTATACCGCAGACAGGCCTCAAAATTATATTGGCAGTTATCTAGGCCCGTTAAGTAATTCTTACAAAGCTGCGCAAGAATTTTTATGGGGTCATGAGAGCTGGCAGAGATCAGTTCTGCAGACAGAAGACACCTACATGCACACATATATTGCTCTACAGGTATACACCCAATATTCGAAAGTGCATATGTGGATTTCCCTGACTATTCTAACACTAAACCCTTAGCCATAAACCCTAAAGCCGGTCCCTATAGTGGAGTTCCTATTGATGTACGGGATGGGTCCCTGTATAAATTGCCCTCAATTTTCAGGAACAGTGGTTTAGGCCAGGTCGCATAGCCTTATCCCTACGTACCTTATACTGCAATCTGTAAAGCCATATAAGCCACATAGTAGGAATGTAAGAGGACCCTAATATAGTTACTATTATACCTTATGTTCACTATCACACGGTGGGGGGTCCACCCAACTTATATCCTTCTATGCCCAGAGGCCCTAAACCCTAGACCCTAAAGCCTAAGCAACCCAGCAAGGTTCACTTAAAGAGTGGCCAGTTCAGCGAGAGCTTGGGCAAAAACGCGCGGCTTCCCAGCAAGTCGTTGCCGCCAAGCTGCCATGTGACATGGGAGTTTCTGAACTTTGGTCGATGATATCTACTATATGCCCATATTATGGTAACTTAAACTCTAAACCCTAGTAAAAACCTATATACCCATGTTATCGTAACTGAACTTAAGTTCCTTAACCTGGCCTTTGGTTAGCTAGGAATGAAGGAATGGATCCTTATAGTAGTCCCTATATAACTCACCATGGTAGTTTTCATTTCTTTTTCCATTGCTTCATTCCCAGCTCAACCAAAGCTCACAGTAACCCTACGGATACTTAGGGATTATAAGGGGCTTATGAGGCTCCCTATTGCAGATGGTAAAGGGGATTTCTTGAGAAACTCCCACATGAGGATAACACCAGCAGGTCTCAAAGCCTGAGTTCCTTTTCCTGCGTGGCTCTTACGATAATCGATGTTTAGAGGCAAATCATTCATTTTCATGCATACCGACGTGCAGCCAGTGCGCTAGCCGTGGGTCACACAGCCTTTTAGTGCGAGTTTGCTAAAGCAACCTATTTAAGCCCTAAACCGTAAACCCTAAACGCATGTTCATCAAGCTCCTCCTTCATTTTGGGCACCAAGCGGCCGTGGATACATCAAGATGCCACTAAGAGGCTCCTGGCAGCGTTGCTTATAGGGCCAGACACTGGGAAGCTGGTGGAGGAAATCTTGCACTACTGTACTATTAGTATTATTACTATTTCTATTATCATTATTACTATTACTACTATTACTATTACTATTATTACTATTACTATTACTATTATTGTTATTACTAGATACCCACGCTACTATAATTCCTCGTTTACAGGGTATATAAGGTTAACATATGGTCCAGTTTAAGGGTACATTTACAAGAACCCTGCCCGGAAGCGTCTTGGCAACCACATTGGTAGCGGCATCTACACATTGTGGGTCTCCTCCTCTCACATCACGCGGATTTGAAATTGATGCGCTGCAGCGCAAGTGAGCGTGTTCTGGCAAGTCTATGCAGATGTAGATATGCCTCTAAATTAGCAGTACGATGTGGGGAGCTGCACATTATTCCGTGTCCTTACGATATTCTGATCCGTTTTTAGAGCGGTAATGCAAACATACTTGCACAGATTGTCGCGGTGGCTTCTGATGAGGGCATGCTTACCATACCACAGTTTCGCAATGATCCTAAATAACCCAAAGGTTCCATGTAGGTATATGGGATATACTTGGGCCTTAAAGTAGGTATATGGGAACCCCTTTGAGCCCTAAGCATATACCATATACCTACATGGACCCTTTGGGTAAGGTTTATCCAGACAACCAATCCTCACGCAGGTCCAGGCTTGGAGCCCCATTTGAGCGATTGTCTAAACTCCCTAAAGGGGGATATATAGGGGATTATATGGGGTACTACGATAGGGGTTACTAAGTGGGATACTAGGAGTGTAGACTATAGCTCATTTGAGAACCTGCCATATTCTGGCCCAAGGGTTATCCGTTTTTGACGTTTGACTTGGCCGCTTCTCACCATCCCTGACATTCGCCATGATGTCCAAGGTGGGAAATCTTTAAGAAGTCCCCGTATAATCCTGAAGAGGGAGTTCCAGAGTCGCTTTGGGTGTCTGAAGCCACCTTTTCGATAAAATCCCAACCCTAAACCCTTGTACCCGCATATCTTCCTATATATATATATATACATTCAAGGATAATATAATGTATACATCTAGTGTATATATATATGTGAATATGTGTGTAGATATTTATATACATGTATATATATATAGCCTCATACAAGCCCGTGACGTTGCCATGATGTCGAAGGTGCTCGCAGCCGGATTGGGCGCTGTGGCAGTCCAGCTATTTTCCGGCCTTGCCCCCAGCCGCGCTGCGTGGACTTGGACCTTGAGTATCCCAACAGATGGTGGCTTCAGCTGCCAGGAGGGCAACACGATCACTGGCAACTCTTCGTCTACTGCTGCAGACTTCGACTGCACCGTGGTGCCTGATGATGGCAAGACTTGTGACGTGACCAAGATCTCTATGCTGTGCTCCGATTCAGAAGGAGGGAAGCAGAACTTTATGCCTTTGGACGGGATGTGCATCGACAATGTTGCCTTTGCAGAGAGCAACAACATGACGCCTGACACTTTGTCTTGGTCGCAAGTTCCCGTCTGCACTAATGCAACCGCAACTACCAGCGGAGCAGCAGCGGGCACAATGATGGCATGCACGACGGCAGCCTTCTTGACAGGGGTGATCTTCTGAGCGTCCTAGGAAGATTTTCAGCGCATGCGCAGGATATTGGCCTGTGCCAGTTGCGCTTGCAAAGGGATTCTGCTTGCAGCGCGCACAAACGCTGTGTGCTGGCGAGCCTCAACTTGCAGAGAGTTCCAAACCATTTGTACCAGTCAATATATGAAAAAAAAAACTGGCTTCTGCAGAGAGAGCTGCGGGGATCATGGGCAATTTTCTCTTGCTTTTTTGAGTTGGGGCTTCAACATTTGGTCGCATATCCCACGGCTACCAGTTTTCACTGAAGGAGGCGGCTACTCTGGTGCTCCTAAGGGCCCGGTGGATAGGTGCAGACGTTAGCCAGGCATGTGCCCGCTATGTGGCTGGCTTCCAAACTTACGTAGTTAGATGCCCATTTTTAACCCAACTGTCTGGGTGATTGAGCAACATGTGGGATGTGTACGAGCTTGGGTGGCTATGACAATGTAAGAGTGCTCGCGTAGCCTCTGGCATGCAGGGGTTTCACGCAGACGTGCCGGGGTGTCTTGTCCGTGCAGTCTGAACAGCTTGCATGTGTGCTGCAGAAGACAGACATCATTACATGATTTTGGTAACCCCGGCTGGGAATCTTACTGTAGTCATACGGCCTGTTCACGGTCCTTATCGAAAGGGTTGGGATAACAAAAATCGCCTTACTAATTAGGCAAGGATTGGGAACTACTTCGTATGCAGTAGGATGCGGTGCAGTCCGCGTGGATCGTTGGGTAGCAAGAATGTCGCAGAGGAAACAACCACTCAGCGTAGTCGCAAAGGCTTGTTGTGTTAGTCCAAGAAAATATATGGCCAAAAGCAATGCCTGAAACCCTGATCCTCGGCGCCCCGCTTTCAGAGGCATCACCATGAATAGGCATAATCATGTATAAACCACTACAGAGTCCATTAAAATTTCCTTGTTCCTCCCTTTCCGTGTCCATTGTTGGGCTCTAAACCCCAAAATATGTTCAATACAACCCTTGCGTACTGCCTGTATGACCCCATGTAACCCTATACATCCGCCATAACATCATCTCTATGTAACCCTTTATCATTCCTTACGAAAACCGCGTATATCCCTATATTGCTCTACATACTCCCCCAAAACCCAAATCCCTGAACCCTAAACCCCAAACCCTAAACCCTAAATCCCAAATCCTAAACCCCAATTCCTAACCCTAATCCCTAAACCCCAAATCCTCAACCCCTAACCCTAATCCCTAAACCACCCATCCCTAAACCTACGTGAGCCCTAGTCTACATCCTGAAAGGAGGTCCTATAGGGGACTACTCCTTAAAGGGGGGTTATATAGGGATTATATTAGGATAATGGAAAAGAAAATGGAAGCTACTATTTAGGATTTAGGGTTTAAGGTTGGATATAGTCCCCCTTAAGTAGATAGAATATAGGGGTTATATAGGGATAATGGAAAAGAAAATGGAAACTACTATAATGGGTTATATAGTGTTTAGGGTCTAGGCACCCCTTAAGTAGATAGAATATGGGTTATCTACTTAAGGGGGACTATAACATTGAAAACCATGATTCCGCCTGGGGCTTTGGTATAAAAGAACTACACAGATCGTTTGCGAATGATAACGCAAAAACCCTCAACGCCCAGGAAAGCACTGAAGTCCAGGGTCTTCAGGAGCCTGTGGGTTTAAAGTTTAGGGGTTAGGGGTTTAGGGGGGTTGTCAACTTGGGATGCAAGAAGCTGGTGGCTGTAACTGAAGCCCTTGCAGGGGCTGTCCTAAACCGTGACCCTAAACCCTGAACCTTAAACCTAAACTCCGGAGAGGGCGTTTCTTACTTGGACATCTGTGCAGGGGCACATCACTAACTGCTGAACCCTGAATGCCCGAATCTGCATACCCTCAACGCGCAACCTACCATAGCCTAGACCATGAACCCAAAACCATGAATCCTAAACCCTAAGCCCTAAACCCTAAACCTTAAACCCATCCACTAATCCTACATGCTAAATGGTAGATTCTAAGCTCTGCTCTGAGCCCTTATACGTCCTGAAGCCTGAGCCTGAGCCTTAAGCCCCCTCAACAAAAAAACCTTTTCATACATACCCCAGATTATCTATAGTGTAAGGGCCTAGAAAGCTAGAATTGGGTGTAGGGGTGCAGGGGCGGGCATTATACTGCAGCTACATAAGGATTACAAGGCTCCTAAACCCTTTTTTGCCCCTATCAGGTTTCTACAGTACGTTTTCATGAATGGCTACCCTCGCCAAACTAACATGGAACTCCTACATAGGGCCCTTGAAGGGCACTCATAAGTGCCCCTTTGGGATTCCCTGCTAGTTTGGTAGAACCTCAAACTGCTGTGGAGACTCTGGCTTTTCCACGGCCCCCGCCAGGGCGAGTTGTGCTAGGATGAATCGCCAGCGGAGCATTTGGGGGGAACCTGATTAGGGTTTAGGGCCGGGCTTTAGACTTTACGAGCTTGGGATTTGTCAGTTTGGGGTGCCGTTTGGTAGTTAGACCGGGACAAGGAAGAGGGGGAGTAGTCTGAGTCTAGATTGAGGACTTCGTCCAGGGCTTAGAGTGAAGGATGCCCAGCACTGAACCCTAAACCCTCCTCCCTCAACCCTAAAACATGCGGTTTAGGGTTTAGGGTTTCATTCTGGGGTCATCACATCCAGGCCTCGGAACCCCTACTTGAAGGTTTCTGGACTCCATGCATATAGTTGTAGTTGCACCTGCAACCCAAGCGCTCGTTGGAGCAGCTGTGGTAAGCGCTCATACATGGTAACCCAAGAGGAACTTACCCCCTAAACCCTAAACCCCAAACCCTATGCTAGGTACATCTTTCCTCGCGGTTTCATGCAGAGCCCGAAACAAGGCCCTGGAATGGCCTCATGTGAGCTATAGGGTTTAGGGTTTAGGGCTTAGGGTTTATAGTCTTAACTCCTAGTATCCCCCACCCTCAATTCCAAACGCTGGACTCTGAAACCCTGAGCCCCAAACCCCAAACCATGAACCGTACTAGAGAAGTTATAAACCCTAAACCCTCAACCCAGAAGTCCCCCTGATAACACCTAACTACCCCTAAACCCTAAACCTTAAATCCCACACTTCCTGCGGGTCAGGATGCTGCACTCCCCTTCTGAGTCGATCTTGGGGAGGCGCAGGGTAGGGCTTGAACCCGAAAAAGGCGCGGTTTAGGGTTTCGGGGGGCTTCCCCCAAAAAATGTTCATGTTGTCTTAGGGGGGTCCCTGTATTAAGGATCACAGCATACTGGGATGTCCATTGCGTGGCCTGTTTCTGTGGAAGCCCACATTTAGTTTGGGGCGGACTTACTCAGCAGGTGAACTGAAAATGAGCACAGCTGGGGTCAATTAAAGTATTTCTTTTAGAGGTTAGAAGTATACTTACGAAGTCCCTCCGAACCTTCAAGCAGACCTCCGCATTTCGGATGCATGTGTGGGGTTCAGGGTTTTAGGATTAGGGTTCTTAGAATGCAGCAGCGGAGGCAGCGGAGGCGGGGGTCTGGGCTTAGCCTGATGCAAGCTGTTAGGTGGCTGTTGCCACCGTGAGCTGTCACGGGGGGAGGGGGGGGGTTAGACAAGCAATACAGTGGGTGTAGGGTTTCAGGTTTGGTGTATTGATAGGGTTTAGGGTGCAGGCTTCAAGGTGCTGGAAGGAATCAACTTTGTAGCCTCGAGGTCGCAATTTTCCTTAATGCCCAGACCCTACACCCTGCAGGGCTTGGGCCCCTAAACCCTAAACCCTTTGACATGTAGGCGTCAAGTTTGAATGCTATGGAGAATGTCAGTATGGCTGGCGCCCTTCAGGGATTCTACTTAGGGCTTGGGGCTACAGGCTTACCCATCGTGGTAATTAGCATGTAATAGAGTACCGGATCTTTATAGGAATCTTTATGCAGTCCTGAGAGAACATACCAATTTCCAATCTCCTTCAATTCCTTCACTCCCGGTCAAACTCTGGAAAGCTTAAACCCTAGACCCTAGACCCTGAACCCCAAACCCTAAACCCTAAACTAAGCCCTGAATGGCTGCTTCCCTGGAGCTTTCCATTCCGAGCCTCACTTCCCAGTTCATGCCCTTAACCCCCAAACCCAGGGTTTAGGTTTTAGCTTGAACCCTTAACCCCAAAACCCTAAACAGCAGTTTCCATTGCCTCTGCGTTCCCTACTAACTGTTGCTAAATGGATGAAACCGGACCCGCAGAAAGCCGAAGTTCAATGTGGCTTAGGGGTTCACAGCGGGCTTGGGGTTTCGGGCTTTTAGTGTTTTTAGGGTTTTAAGGGTCTAGAGGTTTTGGGGTTTAGGGAAAGGGGTGACAGGATTCAGAGTTCGAGGTTGAGGGGCTCAAACTTTGAGCTCAAACCTATTTAGCGGCTCCTTCAGATGGGGAGTTTATAGTTGGATAGTCCCCCATAGGCCTTCTAAGCATGGGGCTTGGGAATTTAAGGCTTTTAGGGTTGAGGGGTTGTGGTTTAGGATTTAGGGTTTAGGGTTTAGACAACAGTTTATGGCAAAACCGAAAGGTTGCGGTGTTCAGGGTCAACTTCTGTGACATTCCTGACCTTTTGGAAGTCCTTATGAGAGTTATGGTGTGGAGATGACCCACCTGAGGTCTACCCAACTGTAGATGGCCTAAACTGACCCTGGGGCTTTCTGTTGCGAGAGGACTTGGGCCACGCCAACCCAACCCCTTTTGGGGCGATATGATAATTTTTTGGGGCCCTCATTTTCGAGGTTTGGATTACCAAAATCCACTTATTGAACCCCAGATCCTGATCTTTGAATCCCAAATCTTCAACCCCGGAAACCATATCCCATGCTGGGCAAGGGGATAAGTTTGAGGATCGTGGCTCCAGACTTCCAAAGCTTAGATCTGTCGTCAAACCACTCGCCATTCGCGGTCGCTGGCGCCTTCACAGTCAAGGTTTACTTTTTGCTTCCAGGGCTAGACACTAGCATCTATTATTTTGCTACTAGTATTTTTAGTACTATGAGTATTA